GGATTTTCTGATCCAAACCCATTTCGTGCGGAGGGGCGTCGGGGTTTGTCGGGTTCTTACGGGGTTCTTCCATTTCCACGTCCGGAGGGGGGGGAGTTGTGTCTACATCCATCTGTTGTGCTTCGAAAGCGTCCGAGCAGAAGTCAGCAGCTAGTGGGCGCACCTCCTCTTGCGTGGGTTGTTGTGGCTGTTGTGGTGTCGGGGGCCGTTGCTGTTCCTGTTCGGGCCTACCGGGCAACGGGGCGTGCGGTTGTTGCGGTTGTTGCGCCTGCCTTGCCGGCTGCGCTTGCTGTGATTGTTGTTCCTCCTGTTGCGGGGTTGGGGACTGTAAGGACTGTTGTTGTTCTTGATCAAATTTGCCGGGCAGCAGGAGGTGCGGTTGCTGCTCGTTCTGCGCCTGCTGTTTTTGCTGCACCTGTTGCTTCTCTCTCGCCAGCTGTCTCAGGCGTGTCCCTTGAGGGTTTTGCAGAAGGTGCGTCTTTTGTTCCTTGGCCCCTTCTATTGTATTCGTGCTTCCGTCCTTGGCCCCTTCTATCGCATCCGTATCTCTCTGCCCCCTTGCCATAACTATGTTTGTATTCTCCCCGGGGCCCGGTGCTTGGTCCTGGGATAAGTTTCCCGGGGGCTGGTCGGCTGTCGTCGAGTCTTTATCTATCAGTTCCGCGACCTGCCTCTCCTGACGATCCCTTCCCTGCGCATTATCCCCATTTTCTAGACACGCAAAGCGGCCACCATTGATGCCTATTCCTATATCGGCCTCTGTCGATTTCGGCTGTGGACTCACTTTCCTTCCCACAGCTACCCAAGTGTCCTGCTTTTTGGGCTTTACTGGGGGGTTCTTCAGATGGGCTTCCAGAGGTTTGGGTGGGACCCATGTCGCCGGCGGATGCGACGCTGCTTTCGGGTCACCTTGTCCCTCCCAAGACCAGCCGGTGATTTTCCCGTCGTTCCCTCCCGGTGCATCAATGTAGACCCATCCCTCATAGCCTGGGTCGACTGCCCTCCACCTGGACTCATCGAACGGATCCTTCCTAAGTCGCCCGGTGGGCTTGGCCGTTCATGAGGGGTGTTGGGGGCATGCCATATTTGTGTACAAGTGGCCATAAACTTGGCATTTGACGCACCATGGCCTGAGCTTGTGGGCGGTGTGAATCCGGTACACTTTCCCTCCCTCGCAGAAGGGGATAACGTCGTCAATTGAGAAAATGTGTTCGTCTGGGAGGTTGATGGCTAGCATTAGGTAGTCATCCCTCCGTGCCACGTGGGGGGGAAGTGGGTTGATGAAGTCTACCACATCGTACTTCTCGGCGAAGTCCTGGACGAATGCTGCTTGGATCTCAATCGGGATGTGTCGGAACTCCACCTAGAAGTGCTCTCGCATCATCTGCTCCCTAGAATCCTCCGGCCGTTGTGGTTTCGGGGGGGCCCAGGGGTAGATACGGACTTCCGACCTTTCGCAGCGGAGGGACTTCCACTTGTCCATTGTTTGTTTGTCCTCCTTTGCGACGCACAGGACCGTGATGACAGAGGCTGATGCGGGTTGGATTAGGAACAGTTCGCGTGCGCTTGCTGGAGACCCCTTGAAAGCCGCTAAGCGTTCCCTGATCCAACCAACTTTGTCGTTCGTGGATTTGAAGGCTGCATCCTCATGGAAGGCCCAATTACTCGCGTGTCCGGCGTACAGGGAGTCCCTTGTTCTCACGGCATCCCCTGAGAGGGCTCTCACAACTGTTGTTCTGCCCGCCTGGTGCAGGATCTTTTTCTCTGGGGGGGCCAGGAGGCGAGACAGAAAAAATACCCCAGCTGTTGTCAGGTTTCTTACGGGAATTTTCCACTCCTCCTCCCTTCCCTTGCTGCCCTCCTCCTTCTTGCGCTGAATCGTGATAGTATCCGGGGGGGGGTGTCCCCTCACTCGCTCAGCCCAAGTTTGGGATGGTTGGTTGTGGGGGGTCGAGCTGGAGGAGGTAAGCGAGCTGTGGGGGGTCGAAGTGTTGGAGGATCCTGCTTGGCTATCGTTAAGGGACTCCTTCCCCTCCCCTAGTGTGTGATCCTTTAGCGAGTCCTTCCCCTTTCCTAGTATTTAATCCCCCCCAGCATCGATCCCAGGCTTTTGCGGGGGGTCCAGGTCCATCCTCCCCTCCCTGTCTTTCCCTCTGCCTCCAACTAGACGGTCGTAGGCAAAGTGTCTCGCCACCCCCCTGTATAGGAGCATCGAGTCCAGTCTCTTGTGGGCCCGTTGGTGCCTTTCCTTCATCTTGACTCGTTTGCTGTCAAGGTGTATGTGGAGTGAGTTTGGATGTAGGTGAAGTTTCCTAATTTTCTTCAGGTCGGTTGTGTGTCTGACTTTTATGAGTTTTAAAAAAATTCTTAAAACTCTTAAAAAGTTGGATGCTGGTTGTAGTGGGGAGGTGGTGTATTGTGAGGCATTGGAACCATGGCTATGGTGATGTCGGTGGCTTGTCTGATGTTTGCTGATACCCGTGAATTTAGAGGTTTGTGAACGGACGAGGCCAGAACGACGCTGGTCGGTGCTGGGGCGTGGCCTCGCTGCCCTGTAACCTGAGCTGTACGGGGGCAAGAGGCCTGGTAGAGAGATCTGGGGAGTTGTCGAGGGTGCAAGGCACTCCAGTGTCTGTTGGCAAGCTGGTACTCAGACGACGTTGGTCGGAGCCAGGTTGAGTCGCTTCGCCCTGTAGCCCAGCAGGTGGGGGATTATTCTGGAGTGGGTCGTGCCACTCTGTTACCTAGCAGTTGCGGGTGTGAGGCCTGGTAGAGGCTGAGTATAGAGGACATGGGGGTTGAGGTAGGCTTAGGGTAGGCTGCTGAATAGCACTAAAGCATTTTGGTTCTAGGTTGAAAGCTTCTGTGGCAACAACAAATCTGGTTTTCTAAATTCCCATGAATACTCTCAGTTAATTCTTAGCCATGGTTTTCTAAATTCCCATGAATACTCTCAGTTAATTCTTAGCCAAAGCTGGGCAATGGTTCCGGCTCCTTGCATGTTTTAAGTCCATATGGGACGCTGGACCCAGTTTCCAGCATGTGCTGCTCCCCATGAATAGATTGGAGAGCATTTGTCCCAAAAAAAAAAAAAAGAAAAAAAAAAAAAAAGAAAAGTTGTGGGGAGGGAAACCGACCCAGCCGATCAGAGGTGAGTCTCTAGTCACTCTCTACCCTCCTTTTTTTTTTTTTTTTTTTTTTGAGTCTCTGCCCTCCAAACCTACCATGGAATCATTTCTGAAGGCTGTTTTTTGCTGGGCGAAAAAACTGCCCAGAAATATATATATATATATATTTTTCGAAGGCGGGGTCCTCCTGTGCTCGGCGAGAGGACCCCGAATCTGCAATAAAATTTTGGTTTG